ACTGATCATGGACAGCAGGAATCTGATATCCTGGGAAGCATGAAAGTCATAACGGGTTCATTCCCACATAGCTTGGTAAAAATCAAATACTTCAAATGAAAGGATTTTCTTTTTGCTTCCTGTGATCCAGTCATTTGTGAAAAGGATGGACACAGGATATATTTGCTTTTCTTCTTCAACATGAAAACAGGGTAAAAGCAACACACAAACTAAATTTTATTTTATTATAAACAAGCATGGATCTACTCTTGAAAAGGCGATGAGAAAACACAAGAAGTGTTTCAAGATGGAAAATATTTTGCCACATTATTTCTTTCAAAGATTTCCAGAGTCTTCTGAATTTTGTGCTTTTTCCTAACACCCTGTACCAACAGCTAGATCCCTGTGACACTCATGATAAGCAGAATAGTGTGTGTCCTCCTAGATGAAACCCATTCTAGCATATATACCCTCGTAGGCAACCAAAGGAATCCTTGAGAGTTGTATTGCCAGAGGATCCTAAAGGAACTGATGGAGGCTTTTAGGAAAATCCCAGTACCTCAGGAACACACAGCTGTAAATAGGCAACATGCTTTCTAATGAACACTAGCAATGAGGATTAGGAATGCCTTCGAAAAGTTATTCTGAAACAGTTTTAGAGGCATCTGTCTTCTTGCATCTTATTTCCATGAAAAAAAGATCTAATACAGTGATTCTCACACCTTTTTAGACAATGAAGAAATATCAGCCCTCAGTGTGGTTATGGACCACCAGCAAATTCCTTGACTCCCTTTGTCAAATGCTGAATGGAAAAGACCATAAATGTGGTTTGTTTCTGTTTGGCTTTGTTTCGGAAGGAAGGAAGGAAGGAAGGAAGGAAGGAAAGAAGGAAGGAAAAGACCACATGAGAATAGTCATTCCCTGCTGGGGGCATATTTTGCACTTTTTGTTTTGCCAGGTTAGTTTTTGCTTAGGGCATGCCAACTCATTCATTCTAATCGTTTGACTTCTTATTTATGTAGGCCTTTTCCACTGGCAGGCAGTAATGATTCTGGATAGTTAAGAGCATCCTGGTGATGACCCACCAGACATACTCAGGGAACAAAACAGCAGATGTGGTTTCTGTGCATAGTGTCTTTGCAGTGGAAGCTGCAATGAGTTCTTATTTGCAGTGGTCCCTAAGTAAATGTCAGCTGTTAATAGAGGACTCAAAATCTGAACTCCAGACTTAACTGCAACACAGGCAAGGAAGCTGAATGCTTAACTCTCCTAATCCCTGTGGCAGGGTCCACGAGCCAGCTAGCTGGAGCTGTGACTCACTGCAGTCTCTACCTTTTAGAGCTCTTCGTTCTCCCAGCTGGGAATGTGAAAAAGCTAAAATCATTCTTTGCCCTTTTTCTCTCAAATTAGAGTTTCTTTTTGTTCTCTTCCCTGCTGCCAAAGACCTCTGCAGTTTTGTCAGTGCTCCGCAAAACAGCGTTGCCCCAGATGAAGGCTGGGGAAGCCTGTGGGGGGCTCATTCTGCAGCAGAGGCAGTGACGGAGGCAGTTAAAAGTGCAGGTTGTTGCACATAATTGTATGAAACAGACAGGTCCAAAGCTTCTTGTCATACATGAGCAAGCAGTGTGGACTGAAAGGGGGTAAAGCATGGTCCACGAGATCATGGGGAAGAGGTCTCAGTTACTCAGAAAACCTTGCATCTTACACCTGGAAGGAACACAGCAGAGTAGTGAGGAAACACTGGAGAAAACGGGTGAAACTGGGTGGGAGGGTAGAAGGAGAGAAAAGGAGAATCTAAGGCAAAGTAAAATGAAACCCATGCCAGTGGTTGTGTGGCCTTCATAAACTAAGGCGGGGAACGAGAGGGTAATTCGCTGATGGACCTCGCGTTGTGGGGAGGGGAGCTGCCCTGGCTGCTCCCAGCAGCATCCAGTGCCCTCTGCTGAGACGAGGCCGAGCAGCAGCTTCTGCTGGAAGCCTACATGGCTTCAGCTGCAGGCAGCTTCACAAACGCATGGTGAGTTTCTGAGCTCTGAATTCCTCTGGCAGCAAGAAAAACCAACAATTCCCCTCTGGGGAAATGCTGAAATCAAGGCTGCCCTGGCCCTCGCGAAGCTTTTGTGGGCAATGCCTTGTGTCCTGCCCATGCCTGCCTGCCAGCGTAAGTCCTCACACCTTCCAATGCCCATGGAAACACCCATCATTCAGCCTCATGAGATGCTGTGCAGTCCTGTGAGAATGGTGCAAAGGCAAGCTTACAGCACGAGACAGGCTGAGGTTGCTGGGGGAAACCAAACGAGCTTTCAGGCACAGAAATTATAACCTTTATTCTGGAGGCTGTTTTTTTCAAATGTGAAGGTGAGCAGATTTGGAACCATTTTAACCATTTTAACCACTAGAAAGATTTGTGATGGGTACTATAGGTCCAAGTAAAGACTTCAGGCATTGGCAAACGAGATGCTATGGCATTAACTCTTACAGGCCCGTACCCAAGAGCGAATGCGCAGGTTTGAAAGGAGAGTTGACAGTGCCCTGCACAGGTGAGTTTGGATACTCTGCCCAGGAAGGCTGAGGATGTAAAAGCCTGCCTGGATTTTATGGGCTGGACAAATTCACTGGAAAAATAAGCCATCTGCGTTATTTAATGCAAAAGCATCACTTGTCCCTGAACCACAGTTTGCTGGGAGGCTAGGAGACTCTTCTGGAGAAGTGTCGCATTAGCTTTGTCCTTACGCCTGCCAGAGAAAGGCTGTTGGCCAGATGACTTCTGGCCAGCGATACTTGTTCTTAGGTGAGCTTGTGACTTCTCATGCTGAGAGTGGAGCTGCATTTACCTCCTCTACTTCCCAGGAAAGCAACTTAGCCAATGGGGGCTGATGTAAAAGCAGATCCCACCGTCCATCCCCTTTCCCTCAGGCTGTGTCCAGAAAGCGAGTGTCACTGTCTCTCAGAGCAGTATGAAGATGCTAAATCATTGTCAAGACAGAGCAGCCTGAATGGGTTTGGAGGCACGGGTCTCAGTTTTGGAGGGCTATAGTGTCTTGGTCAGCTGAACCTGGATTTAAGTGGAATCTTAAAACCTCTCCCTGGGCTGTACCTCCAGGCAGCGTCCAATGTCCCAGGCTTACACCAGGAGGAACACACCATGAGCACTGGGAAGCACGTTCCTGCCTTGGGAAAGGCTTGCCTAGCTTCCTGACTCAAGCCCTGGAGCACCACAAGACAATACTTTAGAGAAGCCAAATGTCTTCTAAATACCTTTACAAAAAAGTCAGCAACAAATCCTAAGTGACATGTACAGAAGAGTCATAGCATGCATGGGGTGATCATGTGAAAACCCCAATTTATGTAATGGCCCTGGAAAGAAACCTGCTCGCTGAGTTAGATGGGTAGGTGCAGTAAATGCCATATGATCAGGCCAGAGAATAAGGTCCTCTGAACACATGCTATTATTTTGAGCACTGTAAGTGGAAAGGGCACTGAGTCAAAGAACAAATAAGTCACAAATCACCTCAAAACTCTACTGCTCAGCTATGTCTTAGGCAATCATGGGAAATTTCTCATAGGGAAAATTCAGTAGATCTCAGTCCAAAGCAGCTTTTCTCACAAGGTAAGCAACAAAGGTGGCTCTGAAGAGGTGGCCTTGACCATGAAGCAAGAACTAAAAACTGGAGAAACGTCAGCCTGGCAGGGATGAGACTTCAGCTGAACGTCGTGTCCGGCTGAGCACCGGGCACTTCCATGGAGCACCTCCAACAGGTCTTACTGGGAGGCCAGGTGCATCAGAGCATTTGCAGAGGGGAATTCTGCACTGCTCCCATTGCCTTTTATAACCTCCCCGCCTGGTTAAAGTATGATTTTGTGATGCCTTAGGCAGGGATGGGCAGAGGACTCATCTGAAACAGAGGGGAAGGTGGAAGGTGTCCAGATGACTGTGCAAGTGTGACTTCTTCACCACATCACGTGTTACGTGGATGATCCCCCTGTGTCTGTGGAGGGCAGTTGTGTGTGTGTGTCTGTGTGCGGGTGTGGTGTTTACAGGATGCTTTGCTCCCATAATAGATTCGTGCCTGGACTTGGTGCCCTCTAGTGTTGTGAATACTCCAGTATGTGAGAAAAAACTTAAAACGTAGATTCCCTGCTTCAGAATTCAGGCTTTTGCTAACTCATAATACAGTAATTTTGTTAATTATGCTACGTAGTTACAACTTAATAGAGATAACCTGACCCTGAGCACATTGAGTAATTACAGTCACACCACCAAATACCTCAGGACACATTTCTGTAGGCTGAAGCTAACATCTCAAAGGCCTTAGCCTGCAAAATACACCCAAATCCATTGGATGAACAGCACTTTACCCGACCCAACGATTCCTGCAGCTGGAATATCAGAAATCCGGCAAACATCACACAAGCGGTCGCTCCTTGGTGCGGCTTGGCAAGCCACTAAAGCCTGTCTAAGTCTGTGCTGCCACCAAAAGCGTAGCCCTGCTACCTCCCCTGGTCACTGTAGGCTTTCTTAGCCATTCTTGGGGCAGCACTGGTGCTCATGTGTGTGGCTGTGAGGTGCTGATCTGACTGGGGAAAAAACCCACCGCAGTAACAGCGATTCCAGCTCTACTGTCAGTTTTCTCTGGCTCCCGTCAGGCCACAAAGGGGAGCAGAACCCCACAGAAAGGAACTGGGATGAGAGCAGGGCTGCCCGCTTCAGTCCTGGCCCCAGCACTGGTGGGCTCAGGCTGGCTGTGGCAGTGCAGCTTTCCAGCGCCTCAGCAGGGCTGCACATCAGCCACTGGCAGAACCACCACAAACCACTACAAACCCCATGGGCTCGGGGCAGCTCTGTGAATAATCACCCATCAGCCAGCCAGATGCTCTACTGCAAATCTTTCACCTTGATTCAATCCCCTTTTTAGCAGAAAATAATCCTACATGTGACCTCTGCTGACGTAATTTTGCTCAGTTAAACAACTCTTATATCAGCCTTCCAAAGCGCAAGAGCTGGTGTTTATGTCCCTGACTGTCCTGCCAGCCATAGAGTCCCGATGCGAGGCAGCCCCGTCATCACCGCTGGCCGCTCGCACACTGCCGTCTGCATGATGCAAGAGGGGCAGCAGCGTTACAGTGCAGGCCAGTTGCATCAGACACGGACCTGCATGAGGCAAACTGCCCCATGTGAAAGATGAAGTCATCCTCATCCCCCTACAGAACAACTCCTGTGGAGCTTTTTTCCTCTGGAGATTGCATCATTAACCTGGCTGAAGCACCAAGCTGTGAAAAATCAGAAGACTTGGTGAAGAAGCAGTAAGGAAGTTGACTGCTTAATTGAGTTTCATATAAAATCCTTCCAGTTATTCCAATCTGACTGTCTAGCTTCTCTAGAAGCTTTTATGCTGTGATAGGGGGGAACTTCTGGGACTTCTCAAAAGCATTTTCTGGAGAAAGATTGCTTAGATTTTGAAAAAAAGAGAGAGAAATGAGGAGAATGTCCCAAAATAACAGGTTTAAAACCAAACACAGTTCAGGTACACTACCGCATGCAACAACGCAGATCAACACTTAAGAGCTAACTAGTCTGGAGGCACAATAAACTGAAGAGGGAGTGCCAAGATCAATGCTACTGGGAAAATAAACTCCCTCCTGCACAAGAAAGTTAGATTCCACATGGCAATTTGGTAAACACCGTGGTGGAGTAAGTCTTTGCACAACAATCCTGGGATACTTCCAGGATAACTCTCCCGAACCACCCCAAAGATTCAGGCAATGGGTCACGCCAAATGCCCTGTTAGAAGTTTAGTTGGGAGTGCGAGAGAAGCCCCTGGCCGTGCTGGTTTGTGTTGCCTGACGTTTGCCTGCCTGGGGACACTGGACCTGCCTACGGTGCGGCAGAGCGCAGGTTCCCAAATGGTAAGTGTGGTCACGTATGTGCTCACTCACGCCAATGGCAAGGGGCGGCTGGACGGGGGCTCTTCCACCGGCCGTGAGACGTCTGTGGAAGAGATGCCAAACAAATCCAGCTCTTCGGGAACACGGTCCTCACCTGCGGCTCCCGACTGCCTTCCCACCCCACGGCACCCACTCCCCTGCCGCCGGTGGCTGTCGAGCCCACACGGACACGAGTGGCCCAGGGTTTCTCCTTTTTTTTTTTTTTTTTTTTTTTTTTTTCTTTTCCACATCGCGGCCGGTAACACCAGGACGCCCCGTCGTTGCTCTCCCAAGACGCCGTGTGGCGCTGCGTGGCTGCCCACCGGCCCGCTCCCAGGCCCTGCGGCTCCCGGCCCCGGTTCCCCTGCCCCCGTTCCCCGGCCCTGCAGCTCCCGGCCCCCGTTTCCCCACTCCCTGGCCCTGCGGCTCCCGTTACCCGGCCCACCGTTCCCTGTTCCCCCGCCCCCCGGCCCTGCCGCTCGTCCCGGTGCTCGGCGCCGCAGCTCAGCGCCGCTCCCGGGAGCCCCGGCAAGGGCCGCTTCCTTTGCATAGCCCCGCCCAGGCGACAGCGCCCACCAATGGGAAGCAGCGGGGCGGCGCGTGGCGGGGCGTGGCGGCGGGGCGCTGCCCGCTGCGCTCCGTTGCACGCGGGTTCCCGCGGAGTCCGGCCGGTCTCGGTCCGCACCGCCCTGCCTGCGCTGCCGGTCCCGGTCCCGGTCCCGGTCCGCACTGCCGGTCTTGGTTCGCACCGTCCTGCCAGCACCGGGACACAGGTAAGCCGCGGGGTCCGCGCACCTGCCCGCCCGCGGCGGTGGTCCCGGCCCTGCCCGGTGCCGGTGTCACCGCCGGGCGGCGGCGGTTGCGGGGGTCGGGGAGACCGGCGGGGGCTGCGGCGGGTCCCGCAACCGGGAGGGCGGCGGCAGCGGTACGCGTGGGCCGCAGCCGGCTCCGGCGGGCGCCTCCGAGCGCTGGCGGGGGAGGGAGAAGGTGGGGGGTACCGGGCCGAGGGGTGCGGCGACCGGAGGATGCGGAGACCGGAGGGTGCCCCGGCGGGGGGTGATGCGAGGCGGTCGTGCCGCCGCGCACCGGGGAGCCCCCTCGCCGAGACGTGCCCGGGCATATCCCGGCACACGCTGCCCGCCCTCCCGCGGCCGGGCGGCGGGGGGCGCCGGCGGGGCCGGGCG